TGCTAGAACACAACTTTTTCTTTTGATTATTTCATTCATACATTTGTTTGTTCATTCACTCATTCATTCATGTTGTGAACGGCAAAAACAAACAAAGGAGTATGAAAATAAAACGATAAATCTAAATAAATATTGGGATATTTTGCATAACAGTTTTTATTTGACTAAAGAAGGCTTCATTTGTCTGACAATTGACTTAATTAAGAAACAATATATTGAAAAAGAAATATATGACAATATATGCCATGTATGAAATGTGGCGTCATTATGTTGAAACATTTTGTGTTTTGATGCATATAATTTTTCACATTTCTTGAGTGTTTAATTTTTTTGAATTCTATATTTGACTTAACAGAAATAAAGTATGGAATTTAAGTCATGGTGCAGTGGAAAAGGAATTAACATTGTGTATGACTCCGTTGAGCTGGGAGGACTGCATCCATACATCTCTGCAATGACTCAAATAACTTATTAATAAAGTCATCTGGAATGGCAAAGAAAGTGTTCTTGCAGGACTCCCAGTTCATCAAGATTCTTTGGATTCATCTTCAATTCCTCTCCTTCATCTTACCCCAGACATGCTCAACAATGTTCATGCCTGGTGATTGGGCTGGCCAATCCTGGAGCCCCTTGACCTTTTTTGCTTTCAGGAACTTTGAAGTGGAGGCTGAAGTATAAGAAGGAGTGCTATCCTGCTGAAGAATTTGCCCTCTCCAGTGGTTTGTAATGTAATGGGCAGCACAAATCTCTTGATACCTCAGGCTGATGATGTTGCCATCCACTCTGCAAATCTCTTGCACGCCTCCATATTGGATGTAACCACAAACCATAATTTTTCCTTCACCAAACTTGACTGATTTCTGTGAGAATGTTGGGTCCATGCGGGCTCCAATAGGTCTTCTGCAGTATTTGTGATGATTGTGATGCAGTTCGACAGATGATTCATCAGAAAAATTTACCCACCGCCACTTTTCCAAATGATCAACTACAAGTCAAGTTATTTGTTGCTCTTACAACTGGTATCAATGACAAGACTTTTGTCAGGCAGTGTATATATGCAGTATAATCGTATATAAAAAAAAATGCTTATATTTTATTAAAAAATGATTATATATATATATTAAGATATTTCACAAATAAAGAAGGTTAGAGTGGTCCAACAACTGACATAATTATGAAACAATGTATTGAGTAATAAATGTATGACAATATATGGCATGTACAAAATATAGTATCATAATGTTGAAACATTTTGCATTTTTAACATTTCTTAAGTATTGAATTTTTGAATAAAGCTGAAGTCCATATCTGACTCAAATTAAAAATTACAAGTTATTTTTTTATTGTCTATGCAATTAAATCTATAGGAATTTGAAGTAGTATTGAGTAAAGGAATTATACTACTTTAAAAACTAATTAATTAGAAAAGTCATTCAAGTTTCTGTTCTTGGCTGTTTGTGTTCTTGTGTGGACACTGACGAATTTCAAAGCCATCTGTCCTGCATCTCATGCATACTGTACAAACCCCAATCAGAAGAGCTGAAGAAAGTCACTGTCAAAAAGGGCAAGGCTACATCAGTGCTGCTGTATATGTATTTCACACTTTGCTGTTGAACTATAGCTGATTGGTGCAGGATGAAACAATTGTATTAATTTTAATTAGTAATTGATAAAAAATTTTAAGTAACTTACCCAACACTGACAGTAAAAATATTAAATCTTAATTTCAGATTAGTAATATGCATTGCTAAGTGCTTAATTCAAACAACTTTAGATAGTTTTCTCTTTAAAATTTGTTTTTGAGCCCTGTGATTCCAAAGTTTTCTATATATTTTTCTATTCTAACAAAGCATATGTCTGAGGAAAGTGTATTTATCAGGGCATCTGCAGATATCTAATGTCAAATTTAAGACTTTTTAAGACATTTTTAAGACCATTAAGTAATAAATTTACTTAAAAGACCTATATCGCAATATCAAAAACATGCAAGAGAAAATGTAAAAATCACTAAATCAGTGGTAAAATAAATGCATTTACATTGAACAGTACTAAAGACAGGTTAGATCAGGGGTGGGCAACCTCAGTCCTGGAGGGCCGGTGTCCTGCACAGTTTAGCTCCAACACTAATCACACACACCTGCTTTTAGATTTCTAGTGATCTTGAAGACACTGATTAGCATGTTCAGGTGTGTTTGATTAGTGTTGGAGCTAAACTGTGCAGGACACCTACCCTCCAGGACCGAGATTGCCCACCCCTGGGTTAGATGCACATCTAAACTACAGAAAAAACAAACATCTTAATGCTGATTTATACTTTCACCTGGCGCACACCTAGTGACATGGACGAGGATTTAATACTTGATGCGTTTGCCATTGAGATATCTTTTTAAATGACAAGGGGCGGTCAAACCCGAGGCTGTGAGCTCCGCTATTGCGTTTTTTCACTGACAAATGTCGTGAGCGCAGTATTACAAGTCAAGAACGCATTCATGTAATACGAGCGAGGGAATCTCTTTGCTCGTGCACCGATTTCCTTTGTTTGTGGACAAAACTGCATGCAAGCTTTTAAATTTAATACGCTGCTTGCGCGAAAATTTTCTCACTCTGAAATATGCATTGCTCAAGCACTAATTTTCTTGCGCGCTCTCACAGCGATGACATCCCATTCGCCGTGCGCACTGAGTCAATAACAGAAAGTTGATTGGCTATTGCAAGTTGACCTCATTTGTAGTTGTAATACCGCAAATTACAATTGGACTAGTGAAATATATAACTGAAACACCACGAAAACCTAGCAACAACAACAACAACAAAAAAAGAATTTAAATGAGCATTAGATTTAGCGTTGGAAGGACATCCAAAAACAAAAGACCTGTGCAAAATATTTAAGACCTAGAACAGCGAATTTAAGACATTTTAGGACTTTTTAAGACCCCGCAGAAACCCTGATTTATTCATGTTTCAGATGATGTATTAATCTCAATATCAGGAAAAAAAATTGACACTCATGACTGATTTTGGAGTGTATATGAAAAAAAATGCAACAGTATTTCTGAATCCAGCCACAGTTCAGCAGAGGAAGTGTGGAATACATACAACAGCCTTGCCTTTTTTGACAGTGACTTCCTCCAGCTCTTCTGACTGGGGTTTTTGTACAGTATGCAAGAGGTGCAGGACAGATGCCTTTGAAACAGTGTCAGTGTCCACACATAAAAACAAACAGCCAAGATCAGAAACTCTGCCCTGCCTTGCAAAGGGAATAAAAGCAGCCTTTTCATGGCACTGGCTATCGGGAGAGTGGAACCAGATTGTAACCTAGATTTCTGGGGGAAAAAAAACTATTTGGACTTGAGCGTGATGGAACGAGAAAAGAAAGAGAGGAACAAAGAAACTGGGGTATAGTGAGTTTAAACAAAAACTACTGTGACGAGGAGCTGAAGGCATTTAACTGGAAACAGAAGGGAAAGGAACAGGAGTAAAGACGATAGACTGTACAGTTTGTAGTCAGAGGAAGACAAATGACAAACAGTTAAAGGCAAAATTGATAGATTTCCTGTGAATTTTTTAATACAAAGAAGATTTTTCCCAAGTCATGATTTAACAGATTCAACAGAAATGTTCACAGTATTCAACAATATTTCTTTCTTCTAGAGAAAGTCTCATTTCTTTTAGTTTGGCTGAAATAAAAGCAGCTTTTGAGTTTTTAAAATCAATTTTTAAGGTTGATAGTAATTGTGATTGAAAAGTGGTTTGAAAAGTGATTGCAAATAAATCATAATCTAATCATGACAAACTATATATCATTGGAAAGGTCTAACTCTTCTAAAAACATATTTTACTGTTGTTTTTTATTATTAATAAGGAAGAGTAATAGATCAAAATTAATTTACTCTCACCCTTTAACCTGTTTATAACCATTTGCAGTTACATATTTAAATTAAACTATAATATTATAGTCTAAACAAAGCAATTATGACAGGCTATATATCATATTAAAGCTTAAAATGTCTAGGTTCCATATCTGGTGACAAATTTCTGATAGATATTTACTGAGCAACAATTATTAACTTGTGATAAGCATACTCTTAATCATTACTTTTCTACAGCAATCCGCATTTACAATTTAAAAAGTATATATTTAAGAGGCAAAATTCAAATGAAATACCACCAAGCTGCCCATACTACTTTAGAATTGTATGCATACTTTACACAAATTGTCAAAAGTATATATATAAAAAATATATATATGGTTCATGTTTTTCAAAACATACATAGAAATAGACCATCTGGTGGTCATGTTTGGTACTGCAGCCAAACAAAATTTTACTGAAAGCTCGTTTTGTAAGATACTAACTTTATATTTGGAATATAAATTATTTAGATATTTAGCTTTGATTGTCTCTGACATTTGGGCTAAAACTTATTTTCTAAAATACTTACTTCATGTAATTTTTAAACAATAAATGTATTGTTTTATTTTTCCATAACCTTTTAATTTTTCTAACTTCTTAAACTTAGCTTCACTTTAGCTACAATAAGACAAGTGTCTTCTTTAAAATGAGACCTAGGGTAAATTTATGCACCAAAAGTTTGAAGACTGGCAATTATTTAAATCGAACATGTCGTTTTCATGTCTATGGTGACAGTTAGGATCTATTTTTCCCAAATGGCCACAGAACAAACACCTTGACTTGCATAAATAAACTAACCTAACTAGTTAACCAAAAAAGTTAAGCTTAAAGTTAAGCCTTTAAGTTGTACTTTAAATTGAACACTAGTATCTTGCGAAATACTTAAAAAAAAATATATGATGTGCTGTTAAGCTTGACAAAGATAAAAGAAATGAATTATTGAAACTATTATGTTTATTATGTTTAAAAATGTGTTGAAAAAATTCTGAAAAAATTGATATCACTGCTACTCTGTACTACAGTAACTTCTGTCAAAAGCACTACATCAGTAATCAGAGAGCTGTTCCAGTAAACATATGTGTCTCTTACCATCTTTGTTGCTGGTGACGGGGATGTTGTGAACAGTTCTGAGTTTAAAACATGAGCCGGTTAACACTTGCAGCTCTACTGAACTCAACACACATGCCTGCAGGTCTGAAACACACAAACACACACTATGAACTAAACACAGCTGTGATATTATCATTTTAGTGACACTGCTATGCTTTTTGAAAAAAAAAAAACTTTTATTACCTTTTTACTTCTTTTCTTACTATAAAATCAAGAAGCGTTTTCTAGACTAGCAAAAAATATTGTCTTGTTTTAGGAATTACACAAAAATTTGTGATTTTTTTCTTAAGACAAGCAAAATAATCTATTATCAAAAGGAAAAACAACATTATTTTGCTTACCCCACTAGCAGATTATTTTGCTTGTCTTAACCCTTTGACTGCCTGCTCTACCAAATGCTTGACCATATTTCGTCTGTTTTAAATACTGTTAAATTCATTTAAAGAATGACTGTTATATAATGGTTTACACGCACAGCATTGTTGGCTTACAAAAAAAAAAAATTTAAAAATCAAACAAAAATGATGGTGTTGCACTACTACACTTGATTTGGGTTTTATTGTAAAAAAAATATAATAATAAATAACAAGAAAAAAACAAGAAAACATGTTAAATGAGAATCTAAAATATTTTATGGCATACTTGAAAATGTTTTTTTTTTTATATATATTTAAGAAAACAAAAATGGTCTTACACTTCATATTTTCAGATTTTTTATAGTAAATGTATTAATTCCGGTACATTTACCATAAACTGACACATCAACCATTTGGTCAATATTTTAGAAACTATGGGATGTGTTGAAAAACAAAATGTATTGTGTGTGATAACTAGTGGCATTAGCAGTTAAGAAATGCAATCAAATTTTTTATTGGTGGGGAAGTTAAATGGTTATGGAAAAACTCATTCATTCATTTTCTTGTCGGCTTAGTCACTTTATTAATCTGGGGTCACCACAGCGGAATGAACCGCTAACTTATCCAGCAAGTTTTTACGCAGCAGATGCCCTTCCAGCCGCAACCTATCTCTGGGAAACATCCACACACACATTCACACACACACTCATACACTACAGACAATTAAGCCTACCCAATTCACCTGTACCGCACGTCTTTGGACTGTAAGGGAAACCGAAGAACCCGGAGGAAACCCACGCGAAGGCAGGGGGAACATGCAAACTCCACACAGAAACGCCAACTGAGCAGAGGTTCGAACCAGTGACCTTCTTGCTGTGAGGTGACAGCACTACCTACTGCGCCACTGCCTCGCCCGGAAAAACTCATTTTGGCATATTATTTCTCAAAACAAGAATTTTTTATTATTGTCTAAAAAAAAGCTTCTTGATTTAAGAATTTGTGGATAGAAACCAGACAAAAACAATAAGTAGGATTTTTCTTTTTCTTATCTTTTCTTTCTTTTTTTTTTTTTTGCAGTGTAGCAGTTGTGGAAAGTTTTAAAGATTAAAGTGCATAATAAATAGATTTTTTTTCCCAAAAAAAGCTTATTTGCTTCTCCAACTTTCTGGTTTAATTCTTGACCACAACCAATAACTAAGACGTTTAGCTCAATAAAGTACTATTTTGCTACTTATTATTAATTAGTAAAGTAGTAGAGGTTTAGGTATTGGGTTGGATTAGGGATGTAGAATAAAAATATACTTAATAAATAAAACAATATCTTAATAAACTGGTAATAACCCAGTAGTAAAAAGTGGCACTTAAATTAAAGTGCAAACAAAATTCACAAATAAATTAATATTACCTAAGATTTCAGCACTGCATTTTCAGTAGTGTGATGCTCTTTGATATACTCATAGAATTATTCAATATTACATTTTGCAAATAATAATAGAAAACAATAATAATCCTGCAAAACAAGGCCCTCTAGTGGAGACCTATAGATTTAAACACTGAGCAGTACTGGAGTGGCTTATGGATTGTGTCATTTTGTAATGATAATGTGCCGCTGTAGTGGAGAACAATTCTGTATTTAAATAGGACAAGTAATCTAACCTTTCTTCTGCAGTTTCTGAATGCTTTCCCTCCATTCCGACCTCTCATAATCTGAGGACAGCAGGAACAGGTAGCTCTGAACAGAGCGAGGAGAGAGAGAGAGAGAGAAAAACAGTGAGTTTAAGAATAACAATGTCTCCCTCTATTGGTAAGCCATGAACAACAAAAGTACAACCATAAAGTAAGATAATTCATTTTTTCTTTTCCTTTTTATCATTCATTCATTCATTCATCTATTTATTTATTACCCTCAATCTTTTTTGTTTTGTTGTTTCTATTTGTGCACTTTTGTAACACCAACTCTATATCGGTGTCTCATTTCAGAGGCTGCATCTTCTGAAGGATGCATTTGAAGGGCACTGCGTCATGACAAAGGCTGTCTCATATCAAAAAAATTGAAAGCTCCTTCAAATCCAGCCTCAAAATGTGTCCTTAGTTTCCCAGGTAATGGGTGATTACAACCGGTGGGTCCTTTGCAGCCTTGAACATCCCAAGATTCATTGTGCACTGTTAACAGCAGGACGTTTTTAAAAGAAAACTCCGGATTAAATGTATAAATTAGGTTTCATTTAGCTTGGATATTTAAACACATGTTAAAACGCAAAAAATGTATGACATGTTTTATTAAAAGGTGATTTTATAGACTGTTTACATTTTTATGTGTACATGTATGGATCAAAGGAAATATATTTTCAGCTTTTGTAAATCTTGCTTTGCCTTCAGATCATTTAAAATTTTAAAGATCAATACAAATTTTATTACAGCTTATTAACGGCAGCTAGGTGACGAGATCTGTTTCTGTAGACTAGATCATCTCATTTCATAACACTCAGCTTGTGTGGATTTCGAAGGACTCACCTTTGAAGTCTGAAATGAGACGCAGCTTATATTTATTGGATTTTTGAATATGCAATTATGGCTAATTTTATTGTTAATAATATTAATAATAATAATATTAATACATTCATCAATTTTCTTTTTGTCTTGGTCCCTTTATTAATCTGTGGTCGCCACAGCGGAATGAACGGGATGCCTTTTCAGCTGCAATCCATCACTGGGGAAAAAAATTATAAATAAATAAAAAACATAAATAATAATAATAATAATAATAATAATAATAATAAATAATAATAACAATAAAGTAAGATATAGTTCACACAAAAAATGAAAATCGGATGTTAATTCACTCATTCTGAGCTCGTTCAGGGCATTGGTGGCCTTTTCTTCAGAAGAACATGAACATTTTTTTAACTAAATTTGTAACAGTTGGCATTGGTGACTCATAAAATGCTTTAAGTTTGAAAATAACAATGTATACTATGACACATTGTATTAAATTGGGACTTTGTTATGTGAACCAATAAGTCTGTGTACGAAACTGAACATTATTTACAGCGTTATTACCTATAATCCACAGCCTTGGCAATTTGGAGTGTGTTTCCTGCAGCATAATGAGAGATGCAAACTTTAGCTAGCACTGTTTATGTACTGAGGGGGTAGGAGAGATGATGTATTGCTCATCAAAATGAACCAAACTTATCTTGCATATTGCAACCTTTAAAATAAAGTAAGATTAAGTTTGTGTATATATGCTCCAGACTGATGCAAATGTGTTCAGGGGCATTTGCAGAGGCTGTGGAGTAAATCTAATATAATGTATACATAATGGTTGGTGCCTTTAGAGAATGATTGTTTTGCTTTATCAGGAAAATACACTTGTATTTTGTTTTGCCTGTGCATGTTTTTTTTTAAGGAATATGTGATGGCAGTCATTTTTATTTATTTATTTTTGCTTCATTTTTATTTATTTGTTTATCCATTTATTTATTTATTTATTCATTTATTCATTCATGTATTCGTTCGTTTGTTCATTCATTCGTTCATTCGTTTATTTAATAATATTAATT